ATTTGGCAGAGCGGTCAGTTTTAAAGTTATAAATGAGACTGTACATATCGGATGGGTCTTGTTTTTGTACATTGTTCCAACTGCAATCCAGTCTTGGTTTCACGGGACCTGTTAGTCGATTCTCTTCTCTTAACTCTTAATGCAACAGACACTGTTTGTACTGGAGAGGTGAGGATGTGTGGAGAAACAGACTGTGAAGGTGCTTAATGACATGCATTTACAGAATGTTGAGGAGGATAAAGACCAACAGAGGCAACTTCAAGCCATTGAACATTAGATTAAACCTCTGCTCATCAGGGATAAGGTTCATTAAACACTTTCCCATCATCCTCCATCTCTGTCCTTTCACTCCCTACCAGCTGTGCAGCAACCCTTGAACCCTACTGCTCAGTAAACATACTGTGCTGTTTGTGTGTAACCTCTTATAACAGGAAAGTAAAGGAAACATCAATCAGGCCATGTCCACACAGTGCCTGAGAACAGGTTTAATCAGGCAAAAATCTGTCTCAGACAAAAGAGTATAACATGGAAACAAAACTTTTCCTTCAATTTTCCCTTTGACCATTTAAAGGACCAGTGTGTAGGATATAGTGGCATCTAGTGTCCAGGCATCCCTGGCATGTTGAACATGGCAGTCTCTGTAGACGAGGACCCGCTCCCTCTGTAGATATAAACAGCTCATTCTGAGGTAACTAAAACATTCTTATTTTTAGCTGATTATTCACAAATGAAAACATACCTATGAATATTATATTTCATTACTGGCAGTAGATCCTCCTAAATGTTACACACTGGACCTTTATTTTGATTTAATTGTACTGAAACATTCTTTTCTGCCTATTTGGCTGCAACATAATTAGTAACTTAGTAAAACTGATCCCTGGGTCGTGCCATGACTTAGGAAATAATAAAGTCTATAAATAAATGTACTACTGTTTTAAGTTGGACTACTTTAGACTATTTTCTAATGCTAACATTATCAACTAACATTGAATTTGTAGTGGGGTTATCATTTTTTTTATTACTGTAATGACCTTGATTTTAGTATTCACTGCACACAATCGAAAGTTGAATGCTCCATCTCTGTGCTCACCTCAGATTTGAAGACAGTGAGAAGTGAATTGTTGTGGCATAATGGTGCTGGTGAACAGAGGGTTTGTTGATCTAATCCGATCCAATGGCCAGTAAACCCAAATTCCACTGATTGTAAATGCCAGAGGCTCAACGTGCCTTTACAGCCTCAAATAATGATAGGTGGTCATTTCACTAACTGTGTTTTCTCTGGAATATCATGTGATGAAGATGGGACTTGACATGATAGAAAGACATTGTCAGTCACTCCTTAGGTTGTGTTGCAATGTTCCGAATTGTGCTCCTTAGTTTAACATTTGACATTAGAGTCACCCTGTTGTCCTCGGAATCTGAAGGGACTCAGGTAGGGCAACTGTAGTCCCGTGTTCACGGTTAGTGTGTTTGTGTGTTTGTGCGCGATGTACTGTTTCTCCTCGCTGCATGTGTGTATGCATGTCCAGGAGTGTGTGTGTTCAGAGCCATTGTGTCAGCCATTGCAGTTTCCAGTGGCAGCCATGTTGGTTCCACAGTCTTGCTCCGTGGCCCATGCCGGTGACAGTAACTCCAATCCATCTGATGGCAGATGTTTGGTGTCTCACGCAGACCTTTTTATTATTTATTATTTAGTTATATAAAAGGGCCGGCACATGTTGCCGTCACCACAACCTGACCAAACCAGCAATGGCTCTGTGTTTGTCTCTCAGTGCTTTTCAGGGTCCCAGTTTGGTAGTTTTTCCAGTAAGGCCTTGTGGTCCACACCAACACTGGCCACCAGTCCTCCTTTGTTGACTGGTGTTCCGCTGTAGTCGATGTCCTCTCCTTTTAGGGTTGTCATCTGGCCTCCTACAACCATGATTACATGTCATTGGTACAGTGCACTTCAACCATTAAGAATTCATTTCAGAGACAATAACTACAGTCACTGAATATGTAAAAATACAATAGCAATTAGCATTTCTGTTTATGTCTGTGTCTTTTTGTGGTGCAAGATATCTTATTTTGTCTAGGAAACACCAATGCTGCATATTTCCTTTTAAAGTCTTGACAGCTTTGGTTATTTCATGAGAGATGTCTGTGTTCTCGGTTGGAAAAAAAGTGATATCACTCACCGATCAGGGTTTATTTCATTGTCATTTAAATCTGACCAAAACAAAACTACCCAGTCCTGAAGAAGCAGATTAGAGTTTCTAAATGTTTAACTCTTAATAAATAATACACAAGAATGTTCCAATTTTAAATTTGACTGTTGCTTATTTAGCTGAAACCAACATTTCAGGAGCTTCCAATGGCTAAATGTAGTCCAACGTGAAATGTAGTCCAATAAGATAAGGGTGCCTACCAAAAGGGATTTTTAAATGAAACTGAGAGGGAAACCAAACAATGGAAGATAATAGTTGATACATTACCCAGTGCATTCAGTAGTGCAGCACCAGCACAGATATCCCATTTCTTAATAATGGTGATGTGCATGTAAACATCTGCCTGGTCTATAGAAGCTGTTTCACTTAAAGGCATCTCCAAAAGTGACAGGACCTTATATCCTGAGAGAGAGAGAGAGAGAG